TATTTAAAATTTCTTGTTTCTGTGTAATTTCTTTAATTCAAAATTTTATTATAATTTAACTGAAATTTAAAAAATAAATTAATTTATTTTTTGTTTAATAAAATAATTTATTTAAGACAATAATTAAGTATTCTGTTAGAATTCAATGATTATCTTAATTATGTTTTGGATTTTTTATATTTAAATGAGATGTTTGTTCTCTATTTGATTATGTTTATCCGCAGTTAGTTACACGAATTCAAACATGAAGTTTTAATAAGTTGTACTTATGCATAATTTACTTGTAATCTTGAATTTTAAGCAATATGCATCAATATACAGTACTTTATGCATAAAAAATGATTTTTAAGAGTTTTCGTCAAATGCTTTATAATATAGTATAGACACACAAATCTATTCAAGTGACTGAAAAACTCCTAACAGAAAGTTGGTTACCAATAAAAAAAAGAGTGCAAAATATGTTTATTTTGATGCAGTTACAATACTGAAAACGTAGTGGTATCACTAACGGTCAATTCCATTGATAACATCTGTTAGAAATGGATCACAGATGGAACACACATGTTGGAAACATTTGCACTCTATTACATAACCTACGTATCTTATGGACGACTTCTAAAATTTGGCAATGGCAATGTCGATCGATATACATACGTGACTAGATCACGATAAAATACTTTAGAAGATAAAAGGGAAAAGTACAATAAAAACCAATGAACTTTCTTGTTTGGAATGATTAAGTCCTTGAACTTTTTTTTGGAACAAATAAGTCCTTGAACATTCCAAAACATGTTAAATAAGTCATTGGACAATTTTTTGGAGCAAATAAGTCATTGGACATTCCAAAATATGTTAAATAAGTCATTGGACATTCCAAAAAATGTTAAATAAGTCATTGGACAATTTTTGTAACAAATAAGTCCTTGAGCAATCCAAAACATGTTAAATAACTTCTTGAACTTTAATAAAACATGTTGGATACATTCTTATGACTTATACAACTAGTTAAAGTGGTAAAATAATGAAAAAAAATCCCCAAAAAAACCCAATGAACATTCATATTTTGAACGATAAAGTGGTAAAATAGTAAAAAAGTACTTACATTTAAAAAAGATTTTTGATAAAGTTTATTTTAATTAAAATTAAAATATATTCTGTCAGTGATTTTTCAAAAAAAAAAAATATTATTAAATTTATTTTAATTAAAAATATATATCATG